GGAACTCCTCGCAGCGGCGCCGGGCGCGCTGAGGCAGCGGGGACCTGGCGCTCAGGGTTTGAGCCTAAGCTAAGATCAAAGCAAAGATAGAGCTGCTTGAAGAGCTGAGGGGGGCAGGAGGGGAAAAAGAAAGGTTATCTTAGTCTTTGCTGATGTTGGCATAAAGAGTAGGTAGGGGAGAACTCATTCGACCCTCCCCCCCCTTCCCTTTTTAAGCAAGGAGGAGGGTTGAACAGCTCCACAGTCTCAATTGCTACAAACGCCATCATTTTAACTCTTAAGTAGGTTTGCTTGACTAATTTGTTGCGGTGGGCACCAGGGATGCGGTGGTGCTGATGAGTTTGGAGTATTATGCTCTCTGAAATGAGATAGGGTAGTATTCACTACCTGCAAGTTTATATCTGAAGGAGAGAGAACTAATTGCTTTTTGTGGACCAGGTACAAGTGGTCCTGGGTTCTGTGCTAACCATGTCTTGAAGAATGTCATCCCTTAAACTTAAGAAAGGCCAAAGCCCCCAGATTCTGGAGCTTGCTTCCTAGGGTTACTTGTTGGTCGTGCTGATGTAGCCTGACTTTATTCAGCATGGTTTTTCTTGTAGTTCCTCTGCGCTTCCGTATGAGACCCAAAATAAGCATCTAGAACTAAGTGCCCTATAGTAATTATAGCTTGTGAAGATCTAACCACTGTTCACCCCCCCGCCCCCCAGTTAAACTCTTGTCTCTTTTCCTGTTCAAATAAAGGAAAAGAACCCGTTTCCTTTCAGAGATAAGGCAAGCAGTCCCTTAGGTTAAGGTTGATGCAAGCTTCCTCCTCTTAGTTTTTCTCTATTTTTTTTAACTTACTTCTAATAAAGCTTAATTCTCTGAAAAGAGAAATCTACCCTTGAGATGCTTAGCAATACTGCAGGACAGCATTTGGAATCCATCTTGGGTATGGAGGATTAGCCACCTTCCCCCCAAGTTTCATGCCCAAGATCTTAGTGGACAGCTAAGCATTTACTGCTTCTCATAGGCTCTAAAAACTTAAGGTAGGTGCTTGGTGAGCTCTGAGAACGAAGGCTCAGAGTTCTTAGATTCTTGTGTTAGAAGATGTTGGCAAGCAATTTTATCTCTCAGACTTGAGTTAAAAGTGGGTCATAAGTTTAGTCTTGTTTGTTTACAGTATGTATAAAGGCAGAATGAAAGTGAGACTAATCTAATTGCTTTGCTTTGAAGGAGGCTGTTGCTGATATTTCATTATAGCGCTGAGGGTTGAGGGGAAGAAAAGCGTTTTCCTCACAAAAAGCTAATAAGCCGTATAATTTGTATGTAAATGTCTAGCTGATCATTAGGCCCTCTAATGAAGGATGCTTATTTAATGGCTTGAAATTGTGGCTATTTGGTCTTGGACAGCCAGGTTTGCAGGGAAGGGTCCAGCTTTCTCCTAACGCTAGAAGATGCCACGTAATCTTAAATGTTCATATAAGTAAAATCCATGCACGATGAGCTATATTACACAAACACATACACAGACACCCCTGCCCAGGAATCTGATGGGCTGCAGCTCTTTCAAATACTTGTACATACGTACAAAGTTGATGCATCATGTCTGCTGCCTCCCAGGGAGCTCCACTTTCATGACGTAAGAATGCAGCTGGCCTCATTTGCTCTGTTCTGGTTTGTCTCTAAACCAGGTTATTAGTGATGAAAAACTAAACCAAGCTTATAGTGTAGTCAGGATCCAGTAGTTCACTCCTGATACGTTTTTGCCTGGATCAAGACCACCCTCTATATCAGGAATTTATTTAGGCTAATAATAATGCAAAATACAAGCCAACTGAATGGTATCTGTTTCCTTCCCTCCGCCTCTCCCCCAGCTTATTTGGATAAACTTAGTCTTGTGCTAGTCATTTAGTCAATATGGAGACACCACTTTAAAATAAGAAGTTCACGCAAAGCTGTTCTGCTGTGTGAATATGTCAGACAGCTGGTCACTTGCATCTCCTGGCAGAGCAAAATAGGGAGGCATTATTACCTAGATGTGCAAATGACATCTTACTCAACAGTGCCTGCAAGGTGACTCAGGCCTGGTCTTGCATATTCTGGCTGGTAAAGTAGATTAACAAATCTCTAAGCAGGTGCCATAGGTGCTTCTCATGCTCTTCCTTCAGAGGGTGAAAGACCTAATAACTTCTGCAGCCTGCTAGAAAGCAGCCCTTCTGGGATGAGAGTGGTGCAGTTGGTGACAAACAAGTTCTGTGCCCCTGTCCCCTGTAAGCATCAAATCGTGTTATGAGTACAGGTTGCAGTAAAGATATGAGATTAAAGTTTAGAAGCTTTCATAAATCTTGCTGCTCCTTTAGTGGATCTTTATTTGGATTTATGCTTGCATGTCCTGCCCCATAGCAGCTCTCTGCTGTGTATCCATCTGTGCATGGCCATATAGATCTGACTATAATATAGTTTGTCTCTTGTTTAATAAATATGTACTCAAGTTGTCCCTGTTCAAACCAGTTTTCAATCTGTTGAGCTTGCATTTCATCTCCATTAAATGTCTTCGTGTACTTGTTGGCATCCTCTGCACTGGAGGGTTCTCGCCTCTTAAAACTTGTGTAAGCATTTTCTATGCATCTACCGTGAGTAGGTTGGCATAAAGTAGAAATGCATTTTCTGTGACTCTAGAGAACTTCCTTGTCTAAGGCAGGCATGTTGATGGAGCACATATCTGTGGGTAAATACCCTTTCTGCATGCGCAGCAACGGCACTTCTTCAGATACATTTCTTAATGGAGAATGGGCCATTAGGTGCTACTAAGAACCTATGTGGTTACCTGTTTATTGGTAATGGGAAGCAACACTTGACTCCTGAAGCTGGGTATGTGGTTTACTTAAAGCATCAAATGAACTGACAACATGGCACTGAATCAGCGGGATGGAAATGGTTCAGGCTGGCTATTGCTTGTTGGGGAAGCTGCATGTGACAGGGAAAGGGTAATAAATATAAAGCATCTGTAGAGATGACTACCTCATTTCTTAGAATTGCCATTAAGGGCTTTTGATCTCTTCAGTGCTCTGTGATAGGTTGAATTTCTTTGTCTTTCCTGGTGGGGGTGTGTGTGTGTGTTTTTTTTTTTTTTTTTTTTGGCCTTGCTCTCTTGGGAAAAGAGATACAATATGAGATGATGGTGGATTTTTTGCCTACCTCTGCTTATCAGTCTCTACTATATAATGAAACACCTGTGCTCCTATTCTAGTATTGATAGTACTAGTGTATTGAATAATATGCACTAAATACTCCATCTCTGCCAAGCTCTTGCTATGTTTCAGTAACACTAGCTTCTTTTGAGCATATATTTTTCAGCTGATAACCTTTGTAATATAGAGGGTTCCTCTCTTGTACCTTATTCTAAGCCACTCTCGCGTGCAGTGACCTTCAGACTTGTCTCTCCTCCTTGTGGAGAGAAGATAGCTTGGTATTTTGTCAGGAGTTTCCAAATCCTCACTGCTTCAAGTGAAGCAATAAAGCCTGGACTTTGCTTCTGGCTCTGCTGACCTCCTGGGTGAACTGCCTCATTTCTGTGATAGTGTCATCTGTGCTGCATGTGCTGCCGAGCTTGCAGTCGTATTTGGTGCACTCTCATGAGTGAGATCAGCCTGGACTGAAGAGGAAGCTTGAATGCAGTAGCCAGTATTGTGTGTTCATGGAGGTCTCCAGTACCCAGTATCTGTCCCTCAAAGCAACTTTACCGACACTGAACTCCATATGGCTCAGGTAGTCTAATGCCTGTCTGACGGCGTTATCAAATTGTGATGGTGGTGAGACTGATGGACTGTGAGTAGGTTGGCTTGTCTTGCTCTTCATGCCCCTTTGAGCATAGGGACACATCGAATGACTAGCCCAAATAATAGAAATAGGAAAGGCAGGAAAGTTTAGGTGCTGTAGTCTGTTGCCATGGAGCAATTGGTCTTTCGGGTTCTGCTGCTGTGCAGAGGATGTTAACTCATAGTTGCCTTTCAAGCCTGGCTAGAGGTGTGGTTCCAGGGCTTTTAAACCACAAACTGAAAAACACTGATCTAATGGATGTAGTGCCTGCCATCCTCCCCTTCCCCCAATGCATGTTCTTCAGCTCAAACTTGGTCTGAAATATGTCACATGTGCTCTTTTAGGAGTAATTATGCAAACGCTAAAGCAATCTAGAATACCATGCTTTAATTTACCACACACTTTAATTAAAACTTGAGAGTGCCTGTGACATTTAGAGTCTCATGATCATGTTTAAGTAGTGGCTGCATGCCTTACTGAAGAATCTGCTCTTATTTTTGCAGAGGCCTCTGGATAATGGAGATGGTGGGGGGGGGGGGGGAGGAAATTCCTTACTTTCTCGTGTTCCTCCATTTTGTAGAGCATGGAGAGGATGTATATGATTTCAGTTACTTGTTTTCACTTTTTTCCATAGAAGAACATGAATATACGAGTGACTTGTAGTTCAGGAACTATGCAGAAGTTCTTAAAGCTCAGAAAAGTGTTGCTTTTATTTCTGTGTTCTAGCTTTCACTCCAGATCTCTGAATGCGTAGATGTATAGTCTGTTTTCTTTAGCATTTATGCTCTGCAGTTACGTTTCTGGTAGAACATGTATAGAAATAAGAGCTTAGGAGGAGAGAGGTTTTAAAGCAGAGGGCATCTGAATGCTGCTCAGGAGACTCTATGAAGAACTGGAAAGCACTCAAAGCTTTTGTCATCTTTGGTAGCGTTAATCTTACATTAGCAGTTGCTGTCTGAAAACGGCAGTAGAAACTTCTTATCGTAAACTGAAAAATGGAGGCTCTTTTTTTCTCCTAGATAGTTCATGATTCCCATACTTCAGCTGAGGTTTTGTTGGTGATGCAGTGCCAATACCCCTCAAATTGGTTTTCGGCAGAGCTTTGTCCAGTAACCAAAGTCCTCACAGCCTTGGTCTCTTGGTTGAGCGTGTAAGGATTGAAGTTAGCAAGATGGTATGAGTTAAACTGTTCTGCCTTTGTTCTCCTCACAGCAGAGGAACAGAGGAGTTAGGGGTTCATCTCTGTTTAAGTCCCACTGAGAGGCAAAGAAAGCTGGCCGAAGATGCTTGGCTTGGGGGAGAGAGTGGAAAGTAATGGGAAAGGAGCCCAAAGACCTGGGTATAGAGTTTGGGATGGAAGGACTGTATCCTTTCCCTTTTTGGAAAGGAGAGCTTCATAATCCTCAGCAGCAGAATACTGGAGGGTGCTGTTTGTTACTCTCCTTCTATCAGAGTATAGCACAACATCAGCCCTTGCACTAGAAGAGGCAACTTTGAGGAAGTACTGTGCATGTGTCTGATAAGTTTAGGTCTGTTGGGCTACTGCATGTCTGTGTGTGCACAGGGGAATTTTTAGGAAGCATCAGAAGGCAAAATGGGAGGGCACCTTGCATGCTCTGAGAGCACCTACTGTTAACTGATCAATGGAGGAATCTCATGGCTTCTGTACAGCTGCTTCTCTTCCCTCCCTTGACAAACCGTGTCCCCGAAGAGCCTAGTGGAGGGAGAAAGCAGGCTTTCTTGAAGGACTTGAACAATAAGCCCAAGCTGGTTCTCATTTAGAAAACAAACAAACAAAAAAAACTTATATCCTAGGTCACGTGGTTCTCCTTAAAATGTCAGTGGGTAATGGGATTATGCTTGTCCTTAGAAGAAATGGTCTTGGTTGTATCTTGGTGAAAGTAGGCAGGTCTGTTAGATCCAGAAATCAAAGTTCTGCAGTATTAATAATTAGGAATTGTATGGGAGTAAAAGAGGTGAAATAACTGGAAGTGTATAAGTATACATAGTCAAACTACAGGTTTGACTCTGTGCCATGGAAGCTGACTGAACTGTCCTAACTCCCATGGGGCTGGGAATTCACCTAGGAAGCTGGCAGATGTTGTACAAAGTAGCTGGCTAATGTAAGCGTGCTCTGCCATATCAGCAGAAGAGCAAATAGCCCTCAGTGTCCTTTCTTTCATTTACCGCGTGCCAAATGTTACTTGCCCTTGACTGGACTATCTGGTCGTCTGCAGCCGGTGCCTATTGCTAATGCACTTCAGCTGTACTAAATGCAGAGCCTCCTGGCAGGAGGTCCTGCCTCTTGTGCTTAGGTAAGTGTCAGACTGCACGGAGGAATCTCTTACTGAACCTGTTGTGGTCAGCACAGCTCTGTATAGCAGTCTCTGAAGCCCGAATACAACTTTCAGGGTGAGAGTAGGATAAGACGACATCTTGCTCTGTTCCCAGCTGATTAATGTCAGGCTCCCTGAAGCGTCCAGGCTCCCCTTGACACCAGCTTTCCATTTGGGGAAAAGAAACATGTGATTCTTTATTTTATATATATTTTTTTTTTAATGCAGGTCTTCTTGAACTCTCCTTGGGAAAATTCAGAAATGTGCTACTTAACCAGACCAATTCAGTGGAAGCTGTAATCAGGAATGTTGCAAGCAATGTGACTGTTGTTGTTTTTCAAGCACATGCCCAGCAAAACAATGTGGTAATATCCTTTGATAAGGTATGGTAAGGGTGTCAGTTCTGATCTTAACTGTTATTCCCCCCCCCCCCCCCCCCAAGGGGGAAAAAAGGCACCCCGGGGTTCTGGTACATATAGGTATGTATATAGAACTGAAGCTGTAGAAACATAAAGCGTATGTTACCTGCATGACTTTCTGGATTTCTCAAGATAGAATAATACCACCTTTCTCATATTTGTATATTGTTGCTGCTATTTTGGAGGCTAGAATACTAAGAGGAACCTCAGAACTGGGTTGAAAGTGTTTCAAGACTCTTTGTTCTTGATGGAGTGGTGCTTTTGACAGGTGACTGCTGGCAGATACCCATCTGCTTTTATTTGATAAACAGATTCATGATAAGCATTTGCCAGTTATCTCTTTATGCTAAGTATGATCACTTTGGGATATGTAGGCATTTGTGTGTCTTGGGTCTGGCTACTACAGATAGTGTTTTGTTATCCCATTGCTTCCCCTGAATTTAGTTCTTGTTTGGTGGCATGTAGAGAACTTCCTTCACAGTACTACAGTGAAGGCTCCTACTTCTGGCTAACAACTTAAGCATTCCTACTGCTTATACGTTAGGCTCAGTTTGCCCTGTAATCACTGGGATATGATCTGAAGTACTGACTTTCTGCCGCTGTGCGGATCTAAGTCTTATTTGAACAGGATGTAGACTAGGTTGAAGGTGCTAGGTGGAGATCTAACAGCTATTGATTTCTCTCCCCTTCAATATATCCCAAATTAAGATATGCTGGGTGGCAATGACTACACTGGGAAGTTGAGATGAGTAACCTGTCCCACAAGTCGCCCACCTCAACCCTCTTTGGATTGCTGAAATGCCCAGGATTACAGGTTTCAGGGACTATTGTTAGACCTATTCAGGTCTTGATTATCTGTAGCATAATTATTTCTGCTGTGGATTCAGGCACTGTCTGCATCCACAGGGTTTCCCAGACCAAGGATAGTGCCGCATAAATGCCTGTACTACTTCCAGGGCTGGCCTACCTCTGGAAATCCAGAGGTGAGCCAGACCTTAAAGCTTGCCAGTGGCTCCATATGGAGCTGCCTCAGATTACTGTGTGATCTTGGAAAAGAGCATGCTTTTGATGCTGGAAAACAGATTTGAGTGCAGGTTAATTGTTTGTTCCAGCCATATGAGTGTGGCACTGCTGTTGCTGCCCTGGTTTTTCCTCAGGACCCCTGGTTTTGAAAGGAGGTTGTACTGGGTAGGGAGGAGATTGGGTCAATGCCCAACTCGACCCCAGGCACTTGTATTATGTGCAAGCCAATATTCCCCAGGTGGGTATATGGTGCGTGTATACAGGCGTCTTAATAGCTTTCCAGGAACAAAGCACAGGTCTGGTATGGCTAGTGTTAAGCCAGCTGTCATACAATCAGCACCATTCTGGTGGAGAGAGCAAGGTGTCTCCACATTCCAGTTCTCAGAATGCGTGTAGTACCATCTGCAATTTGCTTGTGGTATTAACTCTTTGATGGTTTCCAGTTTTATCAGTTGGTTTTGGAGCTTAAGCTAGGCAGCAGGTGGTGTTAGGCCTCTTCCTTTTTTCCTAGCTCTGAGCCAGCAGCTAGGTCTCAGGGCTTGAGTGCCTCACTTGTGGCAGCTGGTACTGCAATATGTGCCCTGGGATCTTGTGACTTCAGGAATATGATTCGTATGCAATATGTCAAGTTGTGATGAAATGTACTCGGGAAGGACTCTGTGCTTACATAATCTATTTCTATCCAGAATCCCTCTGTGAACAGCTCAGGAACTGGAGTAGACAAAGGATTGGTTTCCATCCTTCGGCCTCAGCAGAGTATATGTACGTGGTATCTTCGGTCACTGGATGCTAACCAGGTGTTAAGCACAGCTATCTCCATACCTTATATGGAGAAAGGTATGTTCTTATTACTTGTTGAGGGATACCAGCTCTGCCTATAACAAGCTAACCATGAGAACTGAGGTGTTGATCTTCTAGAGGTGATGTTCTTAAATGGTGCAAATGTAGGATGGAGATGTCAGAAACCCTCTTGCAATGGGCTGTCAAAGCTTGGGATCGATGCTGAATTAAAAAGTTGCAAGTATCAGATGTATTGTATGATCTTGTTATGATTTCAGCCTTAGAGTAGTGAACTGCTGTGCATGTGTAATGGGACCTATCTTAGTGATTATAGTGAAAACACCTGTGTTGTCTACACGACTGAAACACGATGATTTTTAGATCCTCAACAAACAGACTGTGCCTACAAGTATGTGTTTGCAGTCTTAATGAAACTTTTCCTATCGTGTAAAGGGGGAGTAAAAACTACTACAGCTAACTATCTGTATTTCAGATCCTATTCCTGGAGGCTGCAATTTAGAATTTGACTTGGAAGTGGATCCCAATATTTACCTAGACTATAGCTTGGTTGATATACACATCAAGTTTGCTCCCGCAAACTTGGGATATGCCAGGTGCGTGAAAAACTTCAGTATGCTGATGGTCAGACCTTTCTAATCCTGTATTTGACCAGGGCCATAAAACAAGATTCTGCTGGAAAGGCTGTGTGTTCAACTCCTGGCAGAAATCTTGTTTGCTGCAACAAGCAAACTAAAAGGTAAAGGAGGAGGAGGAGAGAAGGGTAACATGGGAGAGATAAGAATTGAAAGCTGCAGCTTGTGGGAGACATTTACCCAGTTTACGACTTCAGATGTGCAAGCAGTCAGCAAATACTAGATCTTCCTGTTCCTGATGGTGATTTACTCCATTTGAGGAGAATTTGTGCATCATAGCCCATTTCATTACTTTACTGCTATGAAAGTGTTGTAATGACCTAGAGTTTTGCCAAACATTAACACTTGAGGTCATAAGCTGTTATCTCCTGGGTAGTGTGTGGTGTCCCAGATAGCCTTCCCCATTCCCTGACCACTGTCTTCATGCCTCTTGACAGAGCTTTTTATATATTGCATATATGGAAAAACAAACACTGAAGCTGTAATGCTCTGGCTGTTGTGACATCTTTGAATTCATGTGCCGGTTCCTTATGACAACTTACAAGAAGCCTCTGTAAATTTAAAGGCAAATGCCCGAACAGACCCTCTAGCTGCATCAGGGTTCTGCTGTGTAATCCTGGCGGTAATCCATTTGCACAAGCATTTACAGCCTACAAGTTAAGGCCACCAACTGATTCAAAACTGAAGAGCAGAAGCCAAGTAATGCCAGTTCAGACAGGAAACTTCTGAAAGCTAATATTAATGTCTGAGGGCTTATACTGGGGATGTAGCTGATCTCTCTTTAATTATAGAGGAGCAAATCCACCATCCTGTGATTCAGGAACTGGTCAGAACTCCAGATGGCGACTGCGTTATGATGTCTATCAATACTTTTTACCAGAGAATGATCTCTCTGAGATGGTACTCATGAACCACATCCGGAAGATGTCTGAGGTGCACAGTATTAAAGCTAATGGCATTAAAGTAAGTCTGAAGCATTAGTGCGCCAAGTGTTTGACAGTGGCACTGACTTAACTTTTCACTTTCCCCTGTGGTGTGGTGTGTGTGTGTTTGGTCTTTTTTTTTTTTTTTTTCCTCCTTTGCGTGGTGGCAAAGGCAAGCTGCTTATGCTTCTTACTTTTATCTGAGATTCCTAGCTAGGAAGTGCGTGATGCCTACAAAATGCCAACCACTGGCTTGGGATAGAGCTGGCTAACGAGCCTATCCCAGTGATGTGGCAGGGTTGAGACTTCCAGTAATGGACTCTGATATTAGGAAGATGGTAGTGATTGGTCTGTGAGGTGTTTTTGTATATCTTGCACACTCTTCTCCATTAAACAAGTTCTTAGCACGGTGTCTTCCTGCTAAATATTGCTTTAGCCATAATGCTGCTTCAGTGGTGTTGAGGCCAGTTTGGCTGGAACAGTGCTGCCGCTGAGTGCCTATAAACCCAATGTGGAAGAAGAGCTGCTTTTGAAAAGGGATGACTGCAGGCTCCTACAGTGCCTGGCAGGTGCTAAGGACTGGACAGGGAATGCAAGGAACAGAGGAGGTGGGAAAGCGTGGTGGAATGGACTAGAAAGCAGATCCAATTTGGAGGGGCATAAAGAGATCTCATAGGGGAGAGTGAACGTTCACTGTATGCTCTCTGCTCCCCAGAAAGGTGTTCCAGGAGGAACAGGGACAGGGGTGGGGGAATGTCAACAGTTGTGACTAGCCCAGCCTTGCTGGAGGTAGAACAACAGCCTTGCCTGCTTCAGAGGCTAGACCTGCATTAGTAGGCTGATGGGGAATTTGACTTTGTCCTCAAATAGAGAGAAGCAAACACGTGGCAGCTTGGAGAATCTTAACCTGTCAAAGATGTAGGTAACGTGGGAGGAAGCGGAATGCATCCTGTGAGCCCATAATGCTTGGACTGGTAATACTGAGAGGGCTCAGAATAGGAGAGCTTTCACTTGGACTTTTTGCTTGTCTTTTTCCTTGAGTTGCTGAGTACTGCCTCAGCTGCTGCAATTGCACATGAACATGCCATCAGTAGTAGTGAAAAGCAGGTCTTTGCAATTAACGCACTTTATTTTCTCAGATGCTTACACTGACAACTGATGACAAGACCAATGTCTACTTTTCCTCACTCCCCGGGCAAGGTGTGATCTACAATGTCATAGTATGGGATCCTCTTTGGAATACTTCTGCTGCATACATACCTGTGCATACATATGCCTGCAGCTTTGCCGACCTAGTGGATAACTGCTCTTCTGTCAGTAAGTTGAGACATGCTGGCAAGGACATACAAGTCCCAAAAGCTTGATATGCTCTGATATGCTGAGCGAAGCTGTTGAGACTTCAGCACGTATGAAGGAGCTGTTTGTTCTACACTGGATATATTCTGTTCTTTTATGTCTCTGTCTACCTCTTGATTGAGCAAAACTCTTGGGATGGTAAAATAAGACCGAGAGGAACTGTTTGTGATTGAAGATTAAACTAAGCAGAGATTTAATTTGTGGTTTGCAAATACAAACTGGCAACTCTGTAGTGCCACACAAGATTACATACTCAATCTAAAGGGAAAAAGCTAAAGTCACTTACTATAGATGCTGTATGTGAAACTAGGCTAATAAAACATAAAACTGAATTAGAATCCAGCCTGATCTCTAACTGTACCAGTGCTAACAACAACCAACAAATATTTTGAAAGGAGACAGTCGTACAAAAATAAGTGTGAACCTAATTTGATAAACAAATGCCAGTAATAGAAAAATGACTACAAAGTCATGTTACTCACTGTGTGAAGTTATAATGATAGAACTGGAGAAGAAGAGTAAAGCTACTGTTGCTATTATGACTGCAGAAGGGATAGGACAGTAGAGAGAATAGGGTTCATAATGCAAGATTCGTTCTGGTTTGTTTTCCTGTATGCCATAACATAAGTAACTGTTGACAAATTTGATGCTGTCTTATGGGCAAGAGACTATTTATCCAGGCTAAAAGTCTCCTCTCTAATTCAGAGAGACTTCAGAGTTTACTCATCTCAAGTAGCTTAGATACTAGTAAGAATTTTGTCTAGAAGACAGAGGTGAACAAAACTGGGATGCTGACAGTCCTTTCTGTTGCATGAAAAAGTATATTAAAGGGACATTGTGATAAACGCTGCAGTGACAAAGACTGCAATTGCAACCTCAGTCGCTAATCCTGTAGCATTGTGGTGGTTTGTCCCATCCCTCTCTCCCTGGTTCTCTATAGATGGTTGAATTGCCCCATTTTAAAGCTGAGCAAAGAAATTTCCAGGTAAAGCTGAAATGGTAACAAAAACAGCAAGTTAAAACTGCTTGAGTAGTAGAGTTGCAGGAACTTGAGTCTTTTGAGCAAGAAGAAAGCTTTTTCCTAATCAGACTGGGATTGCTTAAATATTCTGTTGGAGATTCTTTTAAGATAAGCTTTAGATCAGGCACATCTGTTCACATTGTGCTTCTGAAGGAGTAGCAGCTGTTATACTGACTGGATGACAGCAACCTTACCTTATCTCAGTCTCATCATTGCAGGGAATATTCTAGTTACCCTTTTTCTTTCTCCTTGTAGGCAAACTCTCTACCAAAATATTCTTCACTGTTCTTGCTGTTCTTGGTCTCTTCACTTGCTTTTTTGGACACAGGTTCTGGAAAACAGGTACTGAATGCTTTTGCTTCTTGCCATAAGCGTGGTTGGAATTTCATAGATGTTACTTGATGTAACTTAGAAGCGTAGTTAAGGGTCACTTGGTAGTGATTTCACGTCAGCTGTGTCTGCTGCTTTGCTCGATGGGATCAGAGCTCTTGCGTGCAGAGCAAGAAGCTTCTGGTATTCGGAGAACAGACACTAGGTGTGCTTGCTGGCTAGCACAGAAATAAATATTTAACTTTTTTGATTATTTGAATTTGAAGTACCTAAGAGCTTTTCCAGAATAAGACAGCGTTGTGTGGTTCTCCTTTTGTGATTCTCAGTCACTGAACTGAAACTTCCTGTTCGCTGTTATGAAATGAAGGTGTCTGAGGGTGTAAAATAGGCGTAGTATGAAGTGATAGGACAGCATGCTAAATCTTTTTTTTTTTCCTCTCCCTTTTCTCTAGGCTTATTCTTCATGGGCTTCATATTCACAGGATTCTTCTTCTTTGTATTCATTACTAGGGTAACTGGCCTTGGCTATGATGGTGAGTAGATTTGTCAGGATACGTAGTTCTCTTCCCAAAGCAATATTATTGTGGATCCCTTAACTTTGATTGTGCTTGTGGCTGGCTAGCCTTAAGAAGGATAGGAGCCTGATACATGGGTGACTGAACTGGGCTGACTACCCCAGCAGCACCAACGCATGCAGAATAAGTGTTGCTTCTGACCTCAAACAGTAGTGACACAGAATTAATAGCTGCAACTGTAAAAGACAAATTTGAATATCTATCCAAGGAAGATCAAAATTTTGGAAGCCAGCTGGCAATTTACAACATGCTGTTTCCTTCCCACCTCCCTTTCGTAGCGGAGGGGACACCTCAGTTTCAGTTCAAATGCATTTTTCCTCTGTAAGCTGACAGCATAAATGGTCTGCACCCTGTTTGTTAGGCTGGCAAGAATTAGAGTTCTTTTGTCTTTTCGTAGATCATATCTCACACAGTTACTTTTCATGATACGTACACGTTATTTGTCACAACCATAACTACCCTGGCAGCTCAAGTAGTGACACTTTTGATTGCAGTCCTACACTGGTCTTTCAGTACCATACCCTCAGTTGCTGACTAGAGGCTTTAAGTGAAACGTGTGAAGGAGAACTGAGAGATAGCTATTACTGTGAATGCTGATACAGTTGTTTGGAACTAATAGTAAGGCCTTTCACAGAAAGGCTTCATTACGTAATGAAATCAAGCATGCAAGTAAAACTGCTATATGTGCTACTGCAGGAATTGAAGCTTTCAGTGTTTTGCCACAGTTCTTAGTTTGGAATTTCCTCTTTTCTTTTTCAGTACGTCTCATTTTGACAGCAGTAGCTGGAATTATCGGAGGGCTTCTCCTAGTTGCTAACTGGTGGAGATTCGGCTCTGTCCTACTTTGTATGTTGATTATTGGACTCGTGCTGGGATTTCTCTTCTCATCAGTCATCTTCTTCACTCCACTAGGTATGCACTGAAATAATCTGTTGCAGAGTGCTTAGATGCTGCTTAGATGCTTTACTGCTGTATTACAGGGATCTAGTTTCTGAATGTAGCTTCTGATATCCCTCCAGGACACTGCAAGGCTCCAAGATGAATGCTACTAACTGGCTTATCTTAATGTGATGCTTAATTTTCCCTTTCCAGTGTTGAGAGGAATAGAGCTGTCCCTGAAGCTTTCTTTCAGGTGTGCTGCAGTTGAAGTTACTTAGGGAATCAGCCCTGGTGGGAAAAGGAAACTGCTTACTCTGCAAATGACTTGTTGAGGCTCTCCCCACCCAAGCTGCTTGCTGTCTCAGCAGTCTGATACCAGCTCTGCTTCAGGCATGCATTTGCTGTCTATCTTGTTCTCTCTGATCCTAAGCAAGTTACAGTAGAGAGTCTACAGACTAACTCAGAGGCTTCATGAGTGAAGGCACCATAGATCAAGAGTTCTTGCTGTTACCTTTCACCATGTCACAGTGCAAACAGCCTTGTTGGCAGTATTGCTCTACAAGTCAAGTATTTGCAGATGAATCAACGTCATCAGGGTCTCTAGAATGACCTGGGGAGAGAAACAATAGGAGAAGACAGATCCACTTAAAAGCAAGCCTGGCTGCAGAGCTGCAGCCCCTCAGGGGCATCAGAGCATTAGCCACACTGCTGCTTCTGCTGTAACTTTACATCTCAAAACTGCGCTTCTTTTGAGTCTTCTTAATCAAGATCCCTTGTTGCGGCAATTTTTCATTCTCAAGTCATCTGTGTTTGACTTGAGCCTAGATTCTACGATAGTCCACGCGGTCTGTGGTTGCTCTTTATTACAGTAAAACAGTGGATCTTCTTGGGGTCAGCTTGTCCTCTGTGCTTAACTGACAGGCCTTAGAAAGCAGGGAGGGCAAAACAGTGTTTACTCAAATGACTTAATTACTCTTCCTAAAGCCAAGAGAGTGTGGTGCCCCATGTTATGTGTATAGGCTGCACTTCTTGCACCAGACTCTAGAGCCAAACCTACCTAGATGTAGGCTTGTAGATTATAAACTTGCACAGGTAGTAAATGGCCTCTTACTGAACAGAAGTACTCCGATGCTCCTATTAGATGAGTAGCAAATATTTCAAAAAGATCTGCTGTCCCTGCTTAGGGTACGAGACCTGTACTGAAACAAGGCTTTCTTTTTCTACCCTCGTATAGGGTAACACTGCTAAAATGCATTTTTAAAGAAATGGCAGTTGAGCGCAGAAGCTGTGCTTTTCCATGCGCTACTCCATGTAATTTCTGAATATGCAGTGTATGTGGAGGAGTTCATTCCAAACCACTTAAAAAAAAAAAAAAAAAAAAAGCAAGCATGTTTTATAAACACTAGTAAAAAGAAACTACTTGTGGAATGTGGTATCTCTGCAGGAGATTACAGAGTCTTCCGTGATGATGTTGTGTTCTGGGTGACCTTTTCTTGCGTGGCCTTGATGATTCCAGTGCTTTTTTTTGGCTGTCCAAGAATTGTAAGTAATCTGCGTGGTTATCTCGGGGAGAAGGGAGGAAGGGGGGTGTCAAACACTTTCACGTAAAACGCAGTTCTGTGGGATGTGTACAGAAAACTTAACATGGCCTCATGTAGCTCAGCACAGGAGTGGCTCTAGACAGTTCCTGTTCAGTCCCACTTGTGTTGAAAGGTCCATAAGCAAAGGATTGGTTTTTATTCTGATGTTGCACATAGACTAAAGACAATTGTTAGTGGACACCACTACTACTGTTTTAATAGGGTGGTTGGATAACTTGTGTGAGCAGCTCACTAGTACTCAGATATCTTGTAAGAGTGTTGAACCAATACAAAATGCTGCCTTAAGGAGGTGGGGAACAAAGAGGATGTTTATCAGTCTCCCAAAACTGCTTTCTATTTTTATTTATTTTTTTCTTCTCTTTTCCCTCCTCTCCTCTAGCTGAACATATTGGCTTGTGGAATAGTAGGCTCCTACTCAGTGGTCTTAGCTATTGCTTGTTATGTCTACACAAGTCTTGCATACATCACCTTAGACCTACTCAGAAGGATCCTCAATGATTACTTCAGCAGAGCTTACACCAATGTGCCTTTTCAAACAAATGGTGAGTGCTGCTCTTCAGACTTGATTCTTTAAGGAACCAAGTGATTACAAGCGTGTTTTTGTCTTTTTGTTTTTTGGTTTTTTTGGGGTTTTTTTCTCCCCCCTTTGGATCTCTGAGATAGTCAGGCATCCTGCAAAGCAGGTTGGTACTGCACATGAAAAATAAATGCAAAGGTATTCAGTGGCTAGAAATGGAAAGGACAGTTTCTGGGAGGAGGCAGGGGAACCTTCTAGTTCATTTTACTTTTATAGCTTTTGAAACTCCATTTTGGACTTCATGCTATTCTTCCAGTACAAGACTAGGCTGAAGTATGTTAACTCTACCTGTTAAAGTTTTAGACTTGATCCCTCTCCAAACATTGTACCTGCATAAGCAAAGTCAGAAGGTCTGGAAAGGAACTGTACTGCTTAGCAGTCTCTACTTTTTCAATAGATGGTGTCCTGGTGGTTGAGAATATGGCCTCTTAACTGCTAACACAAACACGAGCATAAAATGCTTGTCTGACAAACTACTGTGTCTGTGCTTCCGTTGTAAACGGTGCACGTTGGGAGGAAGGAGGGAATGAGCAGAGAACGTAGCAAGTGTATTGTGAGGCTTAACATCCAAATTAAAAATTCTAGTCCTTCAAGAGAAATACTGAGTCAATTTAGTCAGACACCAGCCTTCTAGCAGCTGCATGCTGGGGTTATGTGACAGACACTTGTGGCAGTCCAAGCCTGAGGAGCATCTTCCAAGTTGCTGCTGATGGATTTTCGGAGTGGGCAGTCACGAGGCCTAATTCTGTGCCTAATAGGCTGCATCAGCTCCATGTATCTTCTCACCTCTTAAGCGTGTCCATGTGAGTGCAAGTTTAGGAGTGCAGGGGTGCAGAGACAGTACTTCATTGCTATCTGTCTCTAAACTTGTCAGCATTGTGCTTAGGAGGAGAGGGAGACTTCTGTTTTGTCAAAGGAATCTTTTTTTTTTTTTTTTTTTTTTTCCTTCCTTCAGACTTTATCATCCTGGCAGTGTGGGCAATGGTGGCCCTCAGTGGAATAACTGTGCAGCTTCGTCGAGAGAGAAGTGAGGTGCCCTTTCCACCGCACCCCTATCTCCTCTGGAAGAGGGAAAGGGAGCGCAGAAGCACAAATGTGTTAGACCCTAGCCATCACATCCCTCCTCTGAGAGAGAGGATCCATAACAAGCTATTGCAGATCAAAGAGGTCTTTCAGAAAGAGCAGCCAGCTGGGGAAAGAACTCCATTGCTTCTGTAATCGGCCAAATAACTGGTGGACGCAGAGGAAGAGTCCAGGAATGGTGTGAGATGGGTGATCGTCAGCAAACAATGAGCCAGTGGTACAGGCTTTTACCGCCCTGCCTAATGAGAGGATGGTGTTTGCACAACTTGGAAGAAAAGCATTGATCTGTCAATACACTACATGCTGCTATGTGACTTGTTTTTCTTCAATGGTCTGCTCAGCCTGCTGTAACATGCATGTGTCTAGCTGCAGAGAGCTTGTACTATGGGTCAAGTACAGCTATTTGTCTTGTGGTGATCTGGCTGGATGTTTAGATATGGGAAGTATAAAACGGCCCTTAAGGTAAACTGTACAACGTCGGTTCTTCCCTCAGTGTGAAAAATCACTGCTGAAATACTGCCTGACTCGCTCCCAAAGGTGAGCAATCTGTCAACTTGCAAGGGAAGATGATGAGGACCATAAACATAAGCAGTTCTTTTAGCAGCAACTGAAGTATCATCTTCAAATAGGTATAAAATGTATGGGTGCAGACAGTTGTTTCCAAGAAGTATTACTGATTCTTGTAAGCTGAACTAAGTGACTTGAATTTAGACTGCACTGGATTGACTGTTGTATGTGTGCACATCGGGGCTCAGACAGTGAACCTCATCTAAGACGAGAAGGCTTTTTCTCTTGCTTTCAGTTGGTTCTGTAGCAAGCTGGTTCTCTGCTCTCTGTACCAAGATGACTGCTAAGAGAACATGAGATCTGCCTCCTTGTTTGCTTTCAGAACAGCCTGTGTCTTGTTTCAACTCTGGTATCACCTCTCCTCTTTTGATGAGGTGCTGTCTTATAAAAGAGTAACTGAAATAAGCACTTCATAGCCAATGGCAGTTTTTTCCTGAACTTGGTTGAAACACTAGCTATTTTTATTTTTTATCAATGTATCTTTTTAATTTTGCCTCTAAGGGATGGAAGTGGCACACTGCAGGCAAAATACAGACCAGGATCCTTGCTGACTGAATGCATTCCCTACCAGTTTGGACTGAATCTGCCCAAAGGATAATGCAGAGTGAAAAGGAGAGAACGCACCATCCTTGTATTTGGTGGAGAACTACTATCTTGTACGGTGTCTTTATTCACTTCCTTCAAAACAAAGCCTAGCATTTTTTTCCAAAATGCAAACTAGAGCATTGTGGGTTTTGCTCACAGAAATGCACAAGCAGTCCCAAGGCTTCTTCCCTCCTCCCCCCCACCCCTTTTCCCCCTTCTCCACTCCCAACTCTGGTCTTCACCTTCAATGTTTACATGGTGACCTGTCATGCATTAAACTATGGCTGAAGTCTCATATCCCATATCTTGCTACAGTTTCTGGTGGCTCTTTCTGATTCTTCTTCCTATCTTTGCATCTTGAATGTGGGCAGCAACATGGGTAGTCCTTCCTGTTTGAAGCTGAATAGCTGTTTTGGCACTTGAATGGAACCACAACTAGTGAATAACCTAAGCAAACTTAAGGTTTCAGCCACCACTTTGAATTCTTGGCATTAAGTGCAGGCAAAACAACTTTTTGCACTAAAAGTGCCAAAAGAACTCTTTCTGAGAACCTTCTTATTTGAAGGCTGAAACATCCTAGTAGCGGAAAGGAATTAAAATGACTTTAAAATGACTTGACTTGTAGCCCATTTCTCCTTACAGAGTGAAGGCTTATAACAAGGCACCTGAGGTAGCGGAGCTGCTCTAACTGAGAAGGATTCCTGGGATGGCTTAGAGCTGGAATGTCTGCCTCAGTTGAGCTAGGGTAAAATCCTGCAATTAGATCTTGCTCCACTGTGCTGCCCTGCAATG